AGTCTAACAAAAAAGCAAAATGTCCCCCATTCCAAAGGGGTGGACCCCTTCTTCTGTTCTAATTTGCATGTTTTCAAAACAAAATACAAGGCTTGGTTGGGCTACTGTATAAAGCCTGGAACTCAACGCTATTCCTGACATTTTGAATTGAAAAAGCTTCCTGGATGGGAAGAGAAACGTCTTCAAACTTGGAAACAAAGTCGACAGGATTATTTTTAATTTTCTTTTTTTGGAATATCTATATGTCTTAATAACATGTAAAATAAACTGTAAAATTTATGATTAAGCCTTTTTTAAAAATATATATATACTTTTTGTTGTGTAATGTTTCCAACACATTTTTCAGTATTCCAACACCAGCTTATTATATAAAACATACTTATAAATATTTATCGATGTACCCTGTATATGATATGAAATTTTTGCTCTCAGCTCCCAGATTTGCTGTATCTCCCCCGGCTGTGATATTAGTGAGTGCTGTTAATCCATCTCAAATCATTTTCAGATCTAGATGAGTCATAAACTGAAGTGCTCTGCCTCTACACTGAATTTAAATTTAGTCATATTGATGCATCAGTTTATCTCAAGGTAACAGATACTGCGAAACAAACCTTGAGACGTCTGCTTGAAAAAAAAAAATCTATTACAAAGCCAGTAGCTGATTGGGATGAACAATAAATATCTTGTCAGGGGTCTTAAATGTCACAGCGCACAAACAAATGGTTTTACGGAGACTAACTCAGCCTGACTGCTGCCATATTCTGTCCACTAAATCTTTATCCTGATACTGGGTGGAATATTGTATGCAGAAATAGTAAACACATTCCAGTTTAAATCTTCAGACAACCATACAGGCTGTCTGAAGTTCATTCTGATATCAGTTTGCAATCAGCAGTATAATGTGCTGCTTTGAATATGGAGTCCTAATCTTTTAACAGGAATAGCTTTTTATGTGACAGGAACCTCTTAAGAGGCTGAACAGCCCTTTGATAAGAGATGCTCAGGGCCATGCTTAAACCTCTGTGTTGAAGTGTTTTTTTTTTTTTTCTGTTTCAGGGTGTCTCATTGAAAGGTTTTTTTCTTTAAAAACCATTTATCCCTGTACTTGGAAAGGTCCTCACAAACCAGAGCATCAACTGCTGAAGAAAAAGCATGTTGATATTGCGAGTCCCATGTTGTTGGTGTCTGTGTGTGTTTCTTTAACAGAGTCACAAACTTTTTTCGTATATTGCACGAGGGGGTAAAGCTATATAACAGGATCAAATTTAAGGATTTTAAAAGATATTTAAAGATTTTCTTTCCATATCTTTCAGGCCCATTAACACTAGTTTGAACCTGATTATGCATCTATAGGAGTGGTAGCCTAGAGGGTAGAAAGCAGGGGGTTTGTATTCTTTGCTCCCTCTAATCTCTGCAGAGATTACTGGATTAAAAACTCAGGGTTACTAAGCAAGGCATTTTTAATGGACTCAGGATTTGTGCTAATAAGTGTTTTGCATTAACACATTCGATGAATGGCGTCCACTAAATACATTATTATTTCTATTGAATGGTGAACAGTTTTGAAGCAATGAACGTGAAAAAGAGCAACATTCATCCTGAGAAGAATGAGGGACACACAGAGCTCAGGTTCAATTGATAACCACACTTTTCATAACTTCAGGTTTTACGGAGATTATTACAGCAAACAGTATGTCAGACCAGCACCTCTACTGCTAGTACTAGTCTGCATTATTCAGACTCATCTACTGGTATTTCTGTTGCCAATTTCACAGAGCGCTTGGCAGAGGTTTGTGAACTAACAAAGGAAGATTCATATAGGAAAAAAAACTCATGTTTTTGAGCAAACTGTTCCCATCGGGACTTAGGAAACAAGTCAGTAGTCAGCCATCTCCACTCCAAATTTAAAACGACACATCCAAGGATGTTGGGAAATATCTACAACTGAATAAGGAACATAAGAAATCACTTTTGATACATATCTTTTCAGCAGCACTATAATGTTCCTGTATGTTTCTGAAGTTCTATGTATGGCTAAATAAAGACTTCACCCTGAGGGGGTGAGGGATTGCCTTCAAGTCAATGAGTGGATGCAATCAACAGGTTTTTTTTTAGATATAAAACTTTGAATCAATCTGACTGGATGATCTGGTGAACTGTAAAGTGCCTTGAGATGACATGTGTTATGAATTGGCGCTATAGAAATAAACTGAATTAAAACTGAACTGAACTGCACATACAGTATACCTTGACTGCATTGAGTACTTTACATTTCTTTCTATATACAGTACTTAAAAAAATGAAAGGAACACTTTGTAATGAGGGTATAGCACCAAGTTAATTAAACTTCTGGAATATTGATTTGGTCAGGTAAGTAGCGGAGGGGGTTGTTAATCAGTTTCAGCTGCTTTGGTGTTATTGAAATTAACAACAGGTGCACTAGAGGGGCAACAACGAGACGACCATCAAAACAAGAATGATTTTACAATGGAGGCCACTGACTTTTTTTCCCCTCTTCATCTTTTCTGACTCTTTTTCACCAGTTTTTCATTTGGCTAGGGTCACTGTAATTACTGTTAGCATGAGGCACCGTGCAGCTCGATTGGCATTTGCCGCAGAACACCTCAATTGGGAATTTCGCCACTTGTGAACTTAGTTTGTTATTTTGAAAAAAAATTAACTTCGTACATGAGCTAGTTTATTTTCATCTGTGTGAACTGAACTTTGAGTGTGTTCTTTTTAATTTTGAACTGGGGCAACATTTGTCATACAAAGACTCTTTATTTGAGAAATATTTATTTTCCTTATAAAAACAGTACAGTAAAAATATAGTTAGCTGTTTAAATTACAGAGATTTTAATTAAGTATTTTCACACGGATGTCGTCATGTTGTTTACGCTGCAATGCATTCTGGCTAAAAGACATATGCTAGGTCCTATAGCACTAGCGTTGTCCAGGCAAAACAATAATGAATAATGTTAGGTTTATTAAATGATGATTATAAAATTAATGTGTGTGCATATGAAACATTGAAGAAATAAGATGCTACATTCTGTCCTGTGATTCAATCAGGAGGGTCATTCTAGACTTGCCTTCAGCCAGAAGGCATTTACAGGGTCATAAACTTTTATGACCTGCCTCTCAGCCAGTTGGTCATTCTAGGGTCATAGGACCCACCCCATTGTGTCATATTCTGTTAATAAAAGACTCTGCTGTTCTAGTGGGGGGAAGAAAGGTGCTGAAATGTGAGCAGGCAGCCTTTCTCCTCCTGCAGGAAGCTGTGTTTGAAAATCCCTTTGTGTGTCAGATTCATTTTTGTCCTATATGAACTCACAATTTTTAAATCTAACAAATAATGTTTAACCTTTTCCCTTTTAACTAGAGAATGTTGAAAATTAGTGAGAATGTGAAAAGCCACATGATAATATTAGGCTTCCTGTGTTTACTCTGGGGGTTCCAATCAAGGAGGAACCATGTCATCAACCCACCATGCATATCTCAGGTGAAAGAAATGGTGACCGCCGTGGGTGAAAAAAACCAAAGGGCGTTCAATTTTTGAAGTTGTCATGAGTTTATTTTTGTATAACAAATTTCAGTTAATAGGAAAATGAGAACGTATTTAGGCCAACCCCTTTGTTATCTACAGCAGTTGCAGTCACCACTGCCATAAATAGTTGACTCTTGTGCAATTTCCCCATTTCTCTTTGACTACAGTCTGAAAATGGAAAGATGGATGTATAAATCTTCTATTCTGACTCTTGAAGGAGGTGGTTGCATTTTCCTCCTGCTCTGCAACTCCCTGATCTGTCCTTACTTTGCTGTGTCTTGTCTTTTCTGAGCTCTCTCTTCATATCACCCAAATTCAAACAATTGATCTGGTCAGCTGGTCTCTCAATGCAACTGATCAAATTTCTCAATTGGAAGACAGGGGAAAGGGAACACGTCCTGTCCTAACGGGACATACTTTATGGTTTACACCATGGACTCCTGGAAGGCTTGGAGGATGGTGTCTTTAACAATGTTGTCCCTGGAGGATATCTAAGATGTATGGATTTTGATAGGCCGAGTATCATGGATTTATGATACTCAGATTTTTCCTGTTTGGATTTGGAGGATACCTGATACCTCACAAAGGCTGTGAATGAGCAGGATCGAGAGCTGAGCCGTATGCTGGGTGCGATTGAACTCAGTATGGTTGCGGTGGTTGAACTCAAAGGTGAGATGGGATAATATCTTGGATGAGCACGGTTGCTTCAAGGCCGAAAAGCCCAACACATTTGGAATATTGGATTCGCCACGTAGAGCCAGCAAGAAAAGACTGAAGGCTGATGGAAAATTTCTGTGCAGCCTGCTCTCAAAATAATAAGTTTCCTTTTTGGATTCGGCCTCCCCCTTATCAAAATCTCCCCTGGATGTTATGGCAAAAGGCCACTGAACAACTGCTCCACCCTCCCCTAGCAGTGAACAACTGATGACGTGCCCAGAACTGAAGTGCTGGTTGAAAACCTTCCATCTCATCAAGGACAATGGCCTGTGGACAGCGTTCATGGACAACTTGAACACACTCATCAAACACACACAACTAATGTCTCAAATGTGAAAATGACTTTCATGTGGCTCCAGCCTCCGATGTTTTCCTTCTGCTGAAATGTTTGCTGATGTTACATTAGCTTTTCTTGTGCTGATCTGCTTTTAGTATCTCAAACTATCCTATCAAGAATAGAGTGTGAAATATGTTATTATTTTCCCCTCTCCTTCCACAATGTGGCTCCTATCTTTCCACAGAGATTAAGGCAGCGCTATAGGGAACCGCCTCCAGGTTGGGGCTCTTGGCAGCCGTAAGAACGTGATAAAGGTAGTGTTCTGCGGCAAGAATGGACTGAGTAAATCATTCCCCCTGCAGTTTTTTTAATCACTACTGGTACTCTAACCCTCCCTTTGAGCTAAAGGTTTCCAGAGATTCTTTAAACCTGAACCTGTCCTCTATGTGTTTTTTCCAGGTTACTTCTTGTGCTTTTGAGAAAAGCTTCCTCCGAGGAACTCACTTCCTGAACCAAACCCTAACAAAACCTTCACTGAAGAAACTCCAGGAAAAACCTCCCTATCCGGCAAGGTACCACTTCCCTCTCTCTACCAACAACCTGGAAAGACCTGCCTGCCCTCCAACGACTCTCCCACCGGCGATCACTGAGAAAACCTCCAGATCCCATCTCCAGTCCTCCCTGGCGGTAACACCCTGCCTATCCAGTAAGCCCCTGTCTGAATTAGGTTCTTAGCTTTAGTCTAAACCAGGGGTGTTCAAGTCCAGTCCTCAAGATAGTATCCTGCAACTTTTTGATGCAACCATTTTTAACACACCAGAATCAAATGAGTGGCTCGTTTCCATGCCTCTGCTTGGCTGAACCTGTTGATTCAGGTGTGTTAGAGAAGAGATGCATCTAAAAGTTACAGGATGGAAGCTCTTGAGGACTGGACTTGAGCAACCCTGGTCTAAACCCTCAGCTAACCTCCACCCTTCTCTGCCTTCAGTGCTAGGAAGACCCAACTCCAGTGGCTCCTCAATAGCAACATTCATTACTTCTCAGGTTTTTGCTATCAGTTTCAAAGTGAAAATAAAACCTTTTGATTATCCTTGTGTGTTCTCTCCGTGTGGGTCAAACGCCTTGCTTTAAACATGACATTTCTAAAAAATAAAGTATGAAAAAACATAATAAAAATAGGGTATGAACAAATGTAAAAAGCAAAGTCATTCTCAAAATAATTTTCCATGAAGTTTTTTCAAAAGTATTGCATTGCATTTTCACATGTTAATCTACAAAGCGTGTACTTTGCTTTTAATAATAATGGAATTAAATTCACGCCATTAACAGTGGGGTAAGTTTTTGTATTTACATTTAGATGGAGAAGCTTTAATCTACCATGTGTCCCTTAGTTTCTTGAAAACTCTAAAGGTCTTGAAGTGAGTGATAGCAGACTGAATGATGGTGGAGACTGCCTTTGTCCTTGGCAGAAAAAGTAGAATACCTAATGGACCCGGTAATGGCATTGTAGAAGTGCAGAAACATTGTTCATGGCATGCATTACCTACGCTGTCATCTATCTATTCCGTGCCCATGATGGTCTCCGGGGATCTATTTCTAAATGGGCTCCATGCTGCCGGTAAAGTTGGTGTAGGGATTTTCTAGCTGCACTTGGTCACCAGATGGCCAGTCTGAAACCTGCAGTCTCACCCCTACTCAATCAAAGATGAGAGTTGAGTGCAATCTTCTGCAAATTTCATGAGCTTCACAAACTGTTGTCTGTAGGCACAGCTGTGTGAAAGGACACCAATGTGATAATACTAAACACTATGCATCTAAACAAACGTTAGGTCAGATTTCTTAGCTTAAGCGGGACAAGTGACGCTCATATTTGTTCTATTTTAAAATGATCTATAATGATGAAGTCACAATTTTTCAGAGGGATAAAAAACATAATTTAAACTCAGTGCTTTATGTTTTGAATTACAGGTAGGATTTTTTGTTTAGACCTTGGAGTAAAAGTAGGCAAATAGGCAGAGTTTCAATAAGCCATAGAGGGGAATTAAGCATTTTATACAAATAGGACAGAACATCTAAGTAATACTACAATACTAAAATAAGATAAAAAATCAAAGTAATGCTAATTTTTTTTTTTTATTGAAACCTTTTTCAAAATTTTATTTCTGGATATTTTGCTCCTTTAATCCTCCAGTTGACATAATTCCCTCTCTCCCCCTCTCTTCCACAGATAAATACATACCCACTTCTAAATTCCTCCTCTCTTCTGCGGCTGTAGATAAGACAGTAAGGTTGGATCTGTTGTTGGACACCACAGAGCTAAAGTCTTATCCCACATCCAAATCCTTGTGGGTCACATCATTTGGCTTACCCCCTCTCCCTCTGACTCTTCGCTCTCTGTCATCTTAGTAGTCCTATCTCTTGTTCTCATCTGCTTTGTAGTTTGATGTTTTTAGCCTGTTTCTGAACATCGATAGCCTGCAGTGTCATTGATATGTCTTTCGCAAAGCAGAACAAATCAGGCCTTCTGTTGGTTATGACTTTATCTACAGTGACATGCACAATATTTTAATGTAAAGTGCTCTTCCCTCTTGAATAATATGTAGATATTTGTGGGAACAGAAATCCCGACTAATTACAATGCCTGAGTGCAGGAAAGTGGAGCTTCTCTTTTAATTTGATATGATAACATATAGTCACGCCTCAGAAATTGCTCAATCTCTTTAATCAAGAAAACCAATCAGATCTTTACCTCTTATAACAACACTAAAACCAAATAAACCCTGATAAATCTAACAAAAAAACTAAACGTCTGGCTTTCATTGTTTCAAAAATATCTTCACTTTATGAGAAGAATGTAAAATGCTAATGTGTTTATATGAACTGTTTGTTTTAAAAGTTCTATTTTCTGTTGCTGTTGTTCAATAAAAGTGTCATGATTTTATCAAGAGCCCAGACCCACATGCTGAGAGACCAATTCAGAGAGACCAGCGGAAAGGTTTAACAGGTTTACTTAGAAGTTTGTGAATAATCCAGTGTTGCTCTGAACACTGCTCAACCGGAACTGAAAGGTGAGGTGAAGACACTGCGGTTAGTTCAGGCTCAGTAGAAATTTTTATTTTCGAACTTGAAGAGAAGAATTTGGTAGATAACTCACGTTTCCAGAGAAGTTGCTGACTCTTAGACTCCAGTCTGTATAAGGAAGTTTCAGTGTTTGTCTGATTCGGTGAAGGGCGGACAGGGTTTACCCAGAATGTGGTTGTTAGTAGGCGAACGGAGAAGCTGACTGCCACTCAGATTTCCTGCGGTACTTGAACGGGTTGTGGTGGAGACGAATCCCTTACTCAGTGTAAAGCTCAAATGATCTCTTGAGGGAAAGTGGATTCAAATCTCCAGTTTGAATCATCAACTCAGTTTGAAGCAGTCAGGAGCTTAAGAGCGCTCCGTTAATGAGGTAACTCACAGCAGGTGTGTAGGGACGCGGACCAGAACCAGGCGCCTCCTGGAAAAAACACATACACAGACAGGAATCCTGACAAAAAGTACATTTGAGATCATTTGAGGTGAGAACATTATACTTTTAAGCGTCACTATATGGCCCATTTACCCATTTTATGCGTAATTTTAAAAAAAAGTTCAGAAGTTGAGAGGACCGCAGCAACCAGCGGAGCTCCGAGTGTAACGGCAGTCGGGTCTAATCCTAACCCCTGCAGCCCTCTCTCGGCATAGTGAAGGACCACTGCCTATGATGGAGATTTTTTTGTTTCATTTGGCAAAAATTTTCATTTGATTTGTGTTTATCTGACTGTGTTTATTATTCCCCCACCAAATGAAAAAAGTCAGAATTTATTATTATCTAGAGATTATTAATAACAGGAGGTGAAATGCAGCTTCAGACGAGCCAAGCATGTAGTGACATCACGAGTACTCTTCTGTTCCCGTTCTCCCAGAGTCCAGACTTTCCTGGGTTCTTCTCAAGAACATACTTGGCGAGAACACGAGTCCGTACTGGCGTTCTTGTGATTCGAGAAACGGCTGCTGACTTCAGACTCAACTTTAGACTCTGCTCTCCTCCTGTTGATTTGACATATGCAGTAAAATGCTAACCAACCAATGGGCAGAAGTTGACCCTTTAAGACACACACCTGCAATTTACATAATGAGGCAGAAATGCATTCAGAAATGTAAAAACACGCAGAAATAAATAGCATTGAAAAAATACTAAAGAGGGTAAAAAAATACCAAGACAGAATAAAAAAGACAAAAATATTACATCATGCACATAAATAAATACTTGAAAAAATAAGTAATAAATAAATAAAGTTGAAGATTATAATGGACAATAAATAAATAAGGTAATTATTTCAATGGCTAATAAACAAAGACACTAATTAAAAGAGATTCATACATTTATGTCTCATGTTATGAATTAATTTCTACCTACATTTATTTGTTTATTGTATTTTTGGGGGGCAATTAATTGAATGCTTATTTCTTTATTGAGCATTTAATTATTTCTGTATTTATTTTTACATATGTCAGAGTTGGTCCTACCTAGTTTTATTCTTTCCCTTTTCTCACTTTCTAAGTTGTCCATCTGTTTTAGACGCATTTAGCTTCTTTATGACTAACAAATAATTCAAAGTAGATTCATAGTCTTATATTTACTACACATTTAATTTGAAGGCACTTTACCGAGACAATTTAATCAGATCGCACAGTCAGATCCAGGAGGATACGGATTAAGTTATGGTGACAAGGTGGCTCGGGCATCTGTTCCGGATGCCAGGGGCGGATCTAGAAAAATATTTATGGGGTGGCAAGAGGGGGGCAGGAATTTTTTAGGGGTGGCAACATATGGCATTTGTTTACACTGAATTTAATCACAGTTATCACAGTTTGGTGAGAATAGTATGTAGAGTAAGTGTTTCATGTGAAACAGTTCATATTAGAAATGCATCGTACATTGTGATCTCACTTAATAGGAGATAGAAGAATGATTACACTACTTCTAGAGGGGCCTTATGACAGGAAAGGTATTAAGGTAAGACACAGGTGCTGAGTAGTAGATGTGTGAGATTGACTGTCAGAGAGGCAGCTTTGCAGCATTTGCACAAGAAGAAACTATAGAAAGAAAAAGTTACCCATCAGAGATCTATGGACTGAGCTGGACTAAAGTCAGCAGAACTACACAGTAGAAATAAATGGGTCAAGGCACCAAACAAGGTACCAGACATCTATGTAATGTTTACTCTGAATCAGTAACTTGACATACAGCAGTTACGGCAACATTAAAGGGACATTTCATGCATGTAAATATGCTGTAGATAGAGCTGCATATGGAGGACCAACTCTGCCATATTTAAAAATAAATACAGAAATAAATAAACACTCAATAAATAAATAAGCATACAATTAATTGCCACCAAAAATATAATCAACAAATAAATGTAATTAGAAATTATATTATAATGGCGGGCAGAAATGTTAAAAGGGCAGGCAGAAAGAAATAGCAGCGAAGAAATAACTAGGGTAAAAAAATACAAAGGAAGAATAAAACAGACAAAAATATTATAACATGCACATAAATAAATACTTAAAAATATAAGTAATTAAAAAATGAAGTTGAAGATAATAAATGACAAAAAAATAAATAAGGTAAATATTAAAAAGGCAAAGAAATAAAGAAGCCAATTAAAAGAGTTATATACCTTTATGACTAGCTGTATAATTTAATT